TGGAGCAAAAGACCTCACCCCAGCACAGTGAAGTGTAGATCATCCCAAACAGCTGGTAACCATGCATATTGTCAAGCCATCCCTTAATGAAGCCCTGCTGTGTAAAGCAGGCTCAGATCTCACTAGGAAACCTTTGTGGTTTCCCACACTTTCCTCCTCTTAATTTTTTAAAGGGCCCCTTAGATAGACTGAGGTCTGTCTTAGGTCATTCTCCCTGATTATTACGTTGGAAGCCATCCGGAGAAAGTTGCCTGTCTCTGGCTTTCAGTCTCTGGCAGGAGGGGTTACTGAGTTTAACTTAGCTCTAGCTCAGGTTTCTATTGAGCTCACAACCATCCACAGTGATCTCCATAATTGCCACACCTCCCAGTACAGGAGTGGAGGATTATAAAGATGGAATATCCTTTTTTAACGGATCTTAATATGGCTATTGTAACATGAATCTTATAAGGTCTTATTAACAAAATCAAACCTGAAGCCAGGTATTGGGGTGAATGATTGAAGATCAGAGAAGCAGAACAAGCCACAGCTTTCTCACCTTGCCAATTCCTCAGCTGATCCTGTTTCCTCAGAGTAGAAGCCTCTGAGTCCTCATCCAAATGGATCTTAGCTGAACTACTGCTCAAAAGCCTAAAAGCTTAACCAGGATAGTTCCTGGTCCTCATGCCTTATATACCTTTCTGCTTCCTGCCATCACTTCTGGGATTAAAGTCATGTGTCACCATGCCTGGCTGTTTCCCATGTGGCTTTGAACTCACAGAGATCCTAATGGATCTCTGCCTCCAGATTAAAGGTGTACCACCATTTTTTGGCCTCTGTATCTAGTGACTGTTCTGTTCTCTGAACCCAGATAAATTTATTAGAGTGCATAATATATTGGGGAACACAACATCACCATAGTCTATAAGCGCCTTAGCTGTGCCAAGCCTCCTTTTTATTAAAGCAATAAACTCTGGGTACAAACCACATCATATAAATTACTCTGGGTAAAAACCACATCAAATAAATTATAACAAACTTAAAGATTCCCTTAGAGTCAGCAAACTCTAGTTCATTAACATTAACGCAATTGTCGTATAAACAATACATATTTATAACTGTCATGACCATTTACTGTATGTATTTATACCTAGCTTGGCTATTGACTATATGTATTTACACTTCTTACAAAATTACATCACTATTCATATTTTTTTATTTTTTATTTTATTTTACAATACTATTCAGTTCTACATAACAGCCACAGATTCCCTTGTCCTCTCCCTTCCTGTTCCCCTCCCCTTCCCCCCAGCTCACCCCCCCATTTCCACCTCCTCCAGATGAAGGTCTCCCCCGAGGACTGGGATCGACCTTATAAACTCAGTCCAGGCAGGTC